TCATCTTTCATTTAATATTGTTGTTGTCTCAACGAAACTGGCAATGGGCATTCTGCCCAAAGTCGTGTGAAAGGATTGCAAAATCCAAAACAAGGCTCAAGGCTTTCTCTTGGGCTCCCAAAGCTGTTTTGAGGCTTAAATGGAAAGTGTGCAGGGAGGAAAGAAAAGCCTCCCTGGATGGGCCTGACGTGTCCTGGGCTGCAACGTGAGCTCAGTGGGGATTTCCAGCAGGAGCACAGCTCCTGCTTCTTGGAGGTGGAACTCAGCCTCTTTCATTATCAGGTCTCTGGGTGGGTTCATTCCTTCCCCATGGAGCTGGTGATTTATCTTATTTGATGGAGAAATTGCTATGACAAAATGCTAAAAGCTCTTGCTCGGGGCTATTTTTAATCTACTGTAGGTGAAAGATCAGAACACATTTTTGGAAGATTTATGTGTCATACCCCTGTGCTGGGTGGGATAAATGGGAGTTGACAAAATACAGGGCACAAGATTTAAACCATTGCCCTCTGACATCCTGAGGCATCCCAACCATGTGTGATCACAGTTGTGTTCAGCAGGGGAAGGCTTTGCTCTGGGAGCATCTCAGATGCTCAGCAGAGGTGCAGAGATGCAGTCCCTGTTCAGTCTTTAAGCTTTATTGGTGGTGATCAGTAGTTAAACCTGCTCTCAGGCCTCTGTGGGTTTTAATGCAGAATATTTTCCAGCAGCCTCTCCGTGCTGGTGGTGTTTGTGCTCAGTAACACAGCCCTGTTCTGTGGGGAGGGAGAAGCTACTTAATGACAGTTCAGCTTGTGCAGACTCAGCGTTTTTTGCTGATCCTTTAATAGTCCAAACTGCTTCCAGCTCTGGGATCTCTGTCAGCTGTGTCCATTTCTGAAACAGGAGCCCTGACAAAGGCTCTTGACAAAAGCCCTCAGAAATTCCAGGAAAACCTTTTTTCACATCAAGTGTGAGCCAGAGCCCAGTTTCTGCAGCAGTGCAGGAGAGGGGCAGGGGGAGGGTGGGTGCTCTGCCTGGGTCACCCAGAGCACTGGGACAGCCCTTCCAGAGCCAGGGAGAGGGATGGAGGGGTGAGGCTGAAGGAGTGCAGGGTGACTGGAGGAGGGGGAGCTGAAGGGGAGGACTGGGCTGGCTGCAGGCTGAGACACTGCTCTGGGCAGTGCCCAGGCTGGAACCTGCACATCCCGGGATTTCAGTGTTTTATTGCTGCCTTGGGGCTCTCCAGGCCTGCCCTGCTGCCCCTGCAGGTTCAGGGCTGGGCTCTGGCAGTGCTGAGTGATGTTCACGTGCAGTTTGTGCTCCCCAAATGACACATCCTTGTGAGGCCACATCACCAATTAACGTGTGGATTTGTTCTGCATGTGCAAGTCTTTTCTTGGGCAGGGAAGTGTCACAGAGACTTGGCTGAAGGAAAAAAGGAAACAGTTTAATCTTAAATTGTAATTGTCATCCTCTGGCTAATGATAAGCGATATTATGGCCTGCGTATGAGCTGTAATTAAGCAGTGAGACACAACAAGGTGTGTGTTACAGGCAGATAACACAGTGCTTAAGAGCCAGTGACCTGCACAGCACGTTATCTCCCAGCTGCACGAGCCCAGGGTGTCACTGGGGCTCCCCAATCCACTGTCCCCTCTCCCCTGCCCACAGGCTGCTTTTGGGGTGCAAAAATGGGAAGAGGGTTTGTGTTGGATGATTTTTAAAAAAAGCTTCTTTTTTTATAGTTGTCCATTTCTGCTCAGACAACAAACTAGTTGGGAACATCCTGGGGCATCATTCCCTGGAGTTCTGGGGGTTGGGCATCACCTCAGGGGATGTGCTGGCCAGGGAGTGTGGGGTGAGCAGGAGGGTCCCACTGCTGAGCCAGCACCAGACCAGCACAGCTCCTCCTCAGCTCCAGGGTTTCATTTTGCTGTCCCAGATTGCAGAGGGAGCTTTGGGCTGGAATGTGGTGTTGGATGGAGCTTGTTTCAGAGTGGGATTTGGGTTTTGGTTGGAATTGAAGGTTGGAAGTGTGAAGTTTGCACTGTTCATACCAAACCTGTCCCGTGGAGGTGCCATTGCCCTCGGGAGTGTCCTGACCAGGCTGAGCAAAGTGTGGTGCTGCAGGAATGAAATCCAGGGTGGAACCAGCACCAAACTGAAGGGGGTGAGAGCACCTGAGTCCTGGTTCCTTGAGGACAATCCATGGTCTGTGTATAGTGTAGGAATCCTAGAAGAAAACTGGAAACCCCAGTGACTGAGACCTTCCAGTGGCAGAAGACATGGAACAGGGTCAGCTTTGCCCTGCTGGGCCCTGTCAGGGTGCTGCTGTTTCCCTTTATTCCTTATGTTACCCCAATGAAAGTTTGCAGGGCAGAACACTTTGATGTTGATCCCATTTCCAGTTTAAGCCCCGTGGATGTGGATCTGCTGCCCCTCAGTACTGGGCTGCTACAGATAAATGCACAAAATTAATGTACAGCGGATCCAGTTGCTGTATTTTGTTCCTGTGTAACAGCCTGTCTCACACTTGTTTATTCATGTTTTTTCTCCCCCCAGCCATACAAATCAGAGTGTCACTGGGATCCTGGTAAACAAACTGCTGGCAGTTTATCTGGGCAGAGGGAGGAAGGCAGCAGTAAGGTAAGGAGAGAAGCATTTCATCTGATGTCTTTTAGCCAGTAATTGCCAGAATATGCATGGATTGATTTCCCAGTTTTTGGGTACTGTTACCCACTGAAAAGGGTGGATTCTTACTTGACTAAATGTGCAAGGTCTGAGCAGGGTGGGAGGTCAATCCTCTTGAATCCTGAGTTGTGCTGTTTGCTGTCAGAAGCACAGTTTGGTTCTGGGGGTTGGGATGGCACTGAGCCCATCTGGACCCTGATTTCAGTGGCTGTCCTAGATATTATTGTATTAAAAATATAAATAAATCGAGTTAGGCTTAATACAAGAGCAGAGAGACAAGGCAGGGGCCAGAGCCAGCTGTCTCTTGCTCGAGTCCTTCCCCGAGTGCTCCTGATTCCAGCTGTGCACTGGGAATGCCTCTCCATGGCTGGGATAATCCATTCAGAGCAATTACAAGGGATCCATCACCAGCAGGGCCTGAGCCAGGGCTGCTGATGTGGGAAAAGGGATGGGAGGGAAGGAGGGAGCAAGGGGAGGGAGTCAGTGCCTCCCCCAGGGGTGTTTGCCCTGGGAATGGAGCAGTGTGGGATCCTGGGCTGGGCATGGGGGCTGTGTGTGCTGTGCTGGGCAGGGCAGTGGGAGCTGCTGCTCCCTGGAAACTTCCTGGGAATCCACCCACAGCAGTGGGACTGGGGTGGGCACGAGGAGTTCAGAAATTCCCACACAGAACATTTTCTCCAACAGCCCCAGGCCCAGGTGGGATCCCCGTGTCTGCTCACGGCCTCACATCCCATCCCACGTCCTTTCCTTGGTGTAGCCTTGGGGTGGGAGCTGGAGGAGCCAGAGGACTGGGAGCTGGGCCAGGACGGCTCTGGGGAAGCACTCAAAGCGTGAAGCTCTCCAGGTTCCACCTCGAGGAGCTGACTCAACAAACACAGAAGTGAATTGCAGACCATGAGCCAGAGACCCCCCAGATCCTGTGCAGGACAGTTCTGGTCCCTCAGCCCAGCCCAGGGACTGTGGAAACTGTTCCCTCCCAAATAAAAGTGTGTGGGAATTTGCAGTGCAGTCAGGTAGGCTGGAGAGCACATAAGCCAGCTCATAAAAATTCCAGGGGCGTGTACGTCACCCAGCTGGGGTTGGTTGGATTCTGCTCTTCCCTGGCAGTGCCTGGAGCTCCCTGAGATCACCGGGAACACTCCGGGGCTTCTGCCGCCTCCCCGATTCCCGGCACTTTCCACACCTTTGTCCCTTCCTCGCAGGGGGTTCAGGTCTCATTCCCAGTGTTCTGGGTGTTATATTGAGTAAATTGAAGTTATTCTGGCAGATAGTAATAAAATTATTGTTAATAAAATTTAAAATAGATAATTTTAGTTAGGAAATCAATAAACTAGTAATTTTCAAAACTCAGTTACCCCCATAACCACAAACACCCAACAGTTGACCTGGGCTTTCTCAATTTGTGTTGTTGCACTCAGAGGTCCTTGGGGATGGAGCACAGAATGATGTTTGCAGCCTCTGCTGTTACCAACCCAAATCTGGGTTGGTGTTTATTTTGCAGCAGGAATTCCATGGGAAGTCTCTGGGAAGGACCAGCAGGGGAAGGATCAGCTCGTTCCTTCAGGGCCAAGTCCTGCCCTGCACCAGCTCCTCCAATGGTCCCAAACTCTGAGTGATCCCATGGAATGCTGGGCAGAGGAATTCCTACGGAAAACGTATTCCTTGTGTACGGAGCCTGTGGAACCAAGTTCCTCTGAGTGTGCTGCTGGAGAACATCAGGAACCTGGATCAGATGTGTCAGCTGTGCAGAAGGTAACTGCCAATGAACTTTGAATTTTAGAACCCAAATTCCCAGGAGCAGTGGGTGGGATCTGGGGCCCAGGAGCCTTTCCCAAGGGAATGACGTGGGGCTGTGTTTGGGACATGCACCCACCCCTGGAGAGCAGGGCTGACTGAGGCACAAATAAGAAGTTTATTTTTCAAGCCCTTTGCTCATTCTCTGGCTTTTCCACTGCTCTACGAGGGCACCTCAGAACCGTCCCGGGGCTGTGGAAATTCTGCAGCCACTTCTCAGAAACCCAGGAGAGAATTACTCTCACATATGTTTCCATCTTCTGCTTTTTGCATTTTCCCCTCTTGCATTTCTTTTTCTTTGGCCCGGGACAAACTCCTCTGTGCTCACAACTCTCACCATCCCCAAGAAACTTCACTCCAGTGTCCCAGTTTCCCCGGGCAGTGGAACGCAGCATTCCCAGTTTGGTTCCAGTCTCCTTCCAGGAGTGTCCCTGCAGGGATCTGGGGAAGGTTCTTTCCCTGGGCTGTCCAGGCCCAGCAGGACCAGGGGCTGCCTGACCCGGGACACCCCAAGAACAGCCCAGAGCCCGTCACTGTTTTCTGGACAAACAATTTTATTTTCGGTAATGCGTCTATACACTGTACATTCAGTCACTGTGGTATATAAGCATAGCTATTTTCATACATAATCTCATAAAGTCCTTTATTTTACAATATTATCTGCATTGGGGGGGAGGGGATGTGGAAAAGGGGGTGGAAAAGGACTATCAAGGTACACAGCGAAATAGATAAATATGCCAAGCTTTTTTCTTATTTTTTTTTAAATCAGGCATTTATAAACAAGAAAGCATACATTACTTACATAAAAATAGTTCTAGAATAGTAGAGTAAGTCATAATATTGTCATTAGCAGCAGCATAGGAGAGACCAGGATAACAAAAATGTGCTGAAATGCTATTGGCTATTATAAATGTAAAGATTTATTTTTCTTCAATTGAAAAAATGTCATTTCTGTGAGTTCTTTTGATTAAAAAAAAAAAACAAAAAAACCAAAACAAAACCAAAAACAAAACAACAACCAAGCCAACAAAAAAAAAAAAGAAAAACTTCTCTCTAACACACATGACTGCTGAGAGGGCAGAATGGAACAAAATCAACCTTTTGGTAATAAAATACTTTACAGTGAAAATAAGGACAAGTAAAATGCAAATGATGGAGAAAGGTTATAACCCACATTGAAAACTTGCAAAAAGATTTTGTTTTGTTTTTTTTTCCTAACAGACAGCAAAGGTTCTTCTCAGTTAAAAACACAACTCATAAAACAAGACAACTACCAGGTAAGAAAGAGTTTTGAAAAAGTAAACACCATATACACTTATAATACAACAGTGTAAAATGAAAAAAAGTATTTACATGTTGAATTTACTTTTAATGTTTTTTTACATTGGCTAGTTCTGTTTGAAAAGCAGAATATTATGTATAGAGTTAGCTGCTCCATAGATATGAATGTTATTGCTGTTGGTTTTTATTCCCTTCGTTAAGTCTTCGTTCAGTAATAGAAACAAGGAGTAATTAAACTGAATATACAAGTAGTAATATATTTGTAAGTACAGGGAGAGTCAACAGCCTGTATGAAACACCTCTTCTCCCTTTGAACTTCTTAAAGGAAACTAAAGCACAGATGAAGTGAGAGATGTGGCAGCTCCTGCACTCAGGGCTGGAGAGCCCTGGGAGTGCAGCAGGGAAAGAATTCCATGGGAGTGGGATTGACTGAGGTGCTGCAGCCTCAGGAATTACACAGAGAGCTCCCTCTCCTCCAGCACCTTCACACACGGGGCTGTCCCTGCAGATCCCCCCTCCCCACATCAGTGTCTCTGGGGCTGCCACAGGGACAGTTCTAATTATTCTGAATTAGAAACATGTTACACACTCTGCAAAAATAACAATTTAATTGTTAAATGTGTTTAGGAGATTCCCAACAGTTTAAGCCATTCCCTGTGAGCCCCTCCTGGGGTTTGGCTGCTGCTGGACAATGTTTGTCCCCACCTTTCTTGCACCTTTAGATATCTGATTTCAGACCTTCATTTATGGAAATGGCTTTTCACTCCCAAGGACCAAATATTGTGGAGCCTTAACTGGGGCAGGGGGAGTCCCCTGTCAGGTTCTGCCCTCCTGGAGTGACCAACCTGGGGCAGAACAGGAAACCCCCAGCTGGAATTTTGTTCTGGAGCCTTTTCCTGCCCCTCTGAGCCCAGGGGAGGCTGCCTGGGATCACTGGCTGTTGGTGACACTGTTCACTGTTCTGGTTCCTCCTCTGAAAATCCTGCAGGTTCCCTTCCCTCAGGAGGGTGGGAGCCTCCTGCCCAGGGAGCCACGGAGCTCCCCCGGACATGGAAAGGAAAACACAGGTAAGAGAGTTGCTTTTCCTGCAAAAAAACACCTGGAGATGGACAGGCTGCCTTTTTTGCTTGAATTATAAGGGGAGAGACACAATCAAAGATCAGGGGAAACCCAAACAGGCCGAATTTGCAAAGGGAGGGCTCAGTCCCAGGAGGGGGCCAGGACTGTTCTCTGTGTAATTCCCAGCAGGGCAGCAAAGCAGAGCACGAGGGACTCAATGCACAGAATGGTAACTACAGACACAGCTGTTTAGTTTCCCTTGAAGAAATAAGTGGATAATACAGCTCTGGAAATCATAAGGCTGAGAACATTTTTCTGCATACTGCATAACAAAAGAACCCCTTTACATAAGACAGTAATAATGCCCATTAATGACTATATGGCAGAGTTTAATCCATGCATATGATTTAATAATCGCTGAAAAAAAAACATACAAAGAAAATAAAAGCCCACATAAAAAAAAAAAAACAAAAACAAAAACAAACCTGCTCAAGCATAATCAAAATTCCTTTTGCATTGCACTTTAGAAGGAGATCTGCACCTAGAGCCAGTCTCCAGCATCCCAAACACACAAGGGCCAACCCCTGTATCCACAGACAGGTTCAGGTCATGGACTTGGTGTGACTGTTTCTTGCTCCCAACAGTTTTACATTGTCCCAGTAATTCCACTCCTTTCGTATTTCTTCTTTTTTTGTACCTAAAACATATATATGAACTTCTTTGTTAATGCTCACAGTTATCATAATGGTTATTATAATGGTTTCAAGCAAACAGCTCTTGTTTAAAAAAAAAAAATATCTCTAATGTACTGTAAGTAAATACCATAATTTTAGGATTGGAAGCCGCTTTCTGTCTACTGGGAAATAATTTTGAAGCTTACATAGTTTGCATTAATGTCCAAAAGCAAATAAAGATTACTGGAAATATGTTCCTTTGTTTAGAGTAACTTCTGGGTGTGATGATGCATAGGGGGGTTCTCTTTTTTTATCTTTTTTTTCTTTTTATTCTTTTAAGGTAAAAAAGTGTCAGCATTGCCTAGAGAAGATGCTGAGAGGAAAAATGAGCTGGAAGGCACATCTGCAGCCCCAGATCACATTTTCATGTTGAGTGTGTCAGAGGTGAGTGTTTAGGGGTGAAAATAACTTTTCTCTTGATCAGTAAAGCACCAGCTTTATTTGTTAAGCACTTTTGGGAGCATCTCTGCTGCTCCCCACCTTGGGTCAGATACACAGCCACAAAACCAGTTCCCTGGTCTGGTGAATTCCTGCTTGGAACATCCTGGACCTGCTGGATCCTCCTCTGTGGAGATGCTGATGGGAGGTGGCAGTGCTGGCAGGTTGGGTTCATGGTTTGCACAGCTCTCAGGGCAGAATCTAGAATGCTTGGCTTCAGAAACAGGGAATAAAATGCAGAGTAAGATTCTGACAAAGTGCAGGTTTTAAAAAAAAAAAAAATATAAAAAAGCTCAGCACCACCCCCAGGGCAGTGATGGCTGCGGCGTGTCCCGGGGCTGCGGTTGGACCCCAACATTACAGTGAGCTTCTGGTTAAAAACAAAAAAGGGTTTTAAAAAAACGATGTGGCTTATTCACAGCAGCAAAAACGTTGGTGTTGTGGTCTGTGGTGTCCAAGGCTGCACCTCCCTGGGCTCGGGAATCCTGCACCTCCCTGGGCACAGGAATCCTGACGGACACTCGGAACAGGGGCAGGGAAATACTGAACTCACGGCGAGATGGTGCAACGAGATGAGTCTTCCAGAAAACTGAAAGCTGAAGATTTCAGAATGACTTCAACACACAGATGTCTCTGCTTTGTTCCTCTACCAACTGATCATCCATTTCCTTCCTCCCTTTCTTTCTTCCCTTTCCCAAAGCTCAAGTGCTCCTGGATGAAGTCTCTGCACACTCCAAGGGTGCACACACGGGGCCCGTGGGGCTCTCAGTCCAACACCACCTCCTTCCCCACCCCCTGCACGCTCCTGCATCTTCCCTTCTTCTTGTGTTTAGGGCAGGAAATTAAGATAATTCTTTCTAAGGAAAAAAAAAAATCAACTTGAAAAAGCACTCTGAACTTCCCCCACCCCCACGTGACGGGATGGAACCGCGCTGGCTTCCGAGATGGCTGGAAAACTGCTCCTGACATGGCATCATCACCAGAGAGGGGCTTCTGCACAAAGAATCCCAAAGCCTATAAAGTCATTAAAAATTGTGCATCGAAGGTTTGTTTGGTTTTTTTTGTTTGTTTGTTTTGCTTTGCTTTTAAAGGTTCATTATAAAAAAATCGTGTTAATTTTTTTTTTTTTAATACCAAGTCTGTGTAATGAATTATTTTAAATAGCTTATAAGAAAAGTTGGTTTGTTTTGTCAATTCCAAAATGTTCCAACGGGCAGGAGAACACCCCCCCCGCCCTGCTCGCCTTGGACTCTGGGTTCAGCTGGACGCCGCCGCTTGCTTTGAGTTTGCCAGTAGAAAATTCTCGCTGTGGACTTAAAAGTATTTTTGTTTACAAACACTTTGTGTTTTCTAGGCACAGTAAGATGTTGTGCTATATGGATCGGGAAGGAGAAAAAAAAAAAAAGAGGCAGAATTCAGTGCTTCTGTTCTAGAGGGTAACAACGTTTGCCTTCCAACTGCTGCGAGTCCGAGTTCCCGCCGCGGTGCCAGGACACCTCACACCCCCCGCGCCCGCCCCGCCGGCGCCGCTCCCGCCCTGCCCTGGCCTGGGCTCAGTTCTCCATGGGGCTCGAGGTGCTCTCACTGCTGGGCTGGCTGCTTGACTTAGGCCACAGTTGTTCCTGAAGTTCCTTGACCACCTTCTCCAGGTGTTCCCGGGCCTCCCGCTCGTGCAGGAGGTCGGCGCGGAGCTGCTCCCGGTCGGCCTCGGCGTGCTGCAGCTTCACCTGCAGGTCCTCGATCTGGGGACAGAGCAGACACGGGGATGCCTCAGGAGCCTGCACTGCACCACAGAGCTCTGCACGGGCTGAGAGGAGGGACAAAACCGTGCACTTCAGGGGTAAGACTATCAGGATTGAGGCAAGGAAGGAATTCCCTTTTCCCTGCTTTTTTCCCTACACCACTGCCCAACTCTGCAGGGGCTGCTGAGCTTTGAAACTTCCCAGTGACTCCAGCTCCAGCAAGGGAGGTGAAATCCAGCAGAGTTAAGACACAGCCTAAGAATTCCTTAATGCAACAGAACTCTGGTCACTCACACCATCACTGTCACTTCTTGAGGCAGAGACAGCTCTGGCACAGCTGGAGGGCTCAGGGGGGCCATGACAGGGCTGGAATCAAACACCAGGGGATGCTACCAACCTGCCAGTCCTGGCTTCAGAAAAGATAAACCTGCAGAACATTCGGCTACTTGAGTTCTTTTTGAGGTGATTTTAGTCTTTTAGCTTGGGGAAACCTCATTTATTCCTTCCCAAGGAGGGGATGTTTTAGGAGACTGAAATTCCCCGTTGTCACAGGCTCTGGAGCAGCCCCAGTGCCCGGCAGGAGAGAGCTGGAGCACACCCAGCCCAGCCCAGGGGTTCACCTGCCCTGCTGGTGCCTGGGTTGTGTGCTCTGGGAACAGCCAGGCACGCCCAGGGCAGCAGCTCCCGGCGTGGCTCTGTTTAGTCTGGACACCCCTTATCAGTGAGACATCCTGTGATGCTGGAGAGGAAGCCCCACATCATTTCCTGCTCCTGCTCAGACGTGTCTCAGCAGCACAGGGGCCACTCCCCTTCCCGTTATCAGAGAGCCTCTGATTGCCAGGGCTCTGCTTTTCCTCTTCCCCTCCTCCCTTAAAGCCACCACACCAAATACCTGCAGCTCCCACCTGAGGCCCAGCACCGGCTCCAAGGAGCTCCTGTGTCTGACAACACCCTGCCCAGCACCCCCTGCTCCCAGAGCTCCTCTGGCAGCAGCTCAGTGTCCCCTGGGAGACAAACCCTGCCGAGGGTGACCCGTGTGTGGCAGGGCCATGGGGGCGAGTTTGAACTCGAGGAGTTTAAGTTGGTCCCTGTGCCCCGTTTTTGGGAGTCCTGCCCTTTCCTGATGCACTTTCCCCCGGGCTGTCCCTGGGAGGGCGGTGGAGCTGTGCCCTGGGAGGGATGGGGACAGGGACAGGCACAGGGCCAGGGACAGGCACAGGGACAGGGCTGTCCCAGCTCGGGGGCCTCACCTGGGCCGAGTACTTGGCGCGGAGCCGTCCGGCCTCGCAGCCCTTGTCGCACACGCGGATCTGCCGCGCCTGCTCCAGCTCCCGCTTCAGCCGCACCCGCGACTCGTTCGCCTCCTTCATCTTCTTCTCGTTCTCCGCCCGCAGGCGCTCGATCTCCTTCCGCAGGTTGCGCTTGGCCTCGGTGGCTTCCCGCAGCTTCTCCTTCTTGGCCACCCTCAGGAACTCCAGCTCCTGGACACAGAGGAGGGAGGTGTGAGCAGGGGGGAGCAGAGCCCCGGGATCCAAACCCATCCCCACCTCCCGCGGCTGGGACCGAGGCAGCTCGGGGCTAAACCCCGCTCTGACCCTGGTACAAGCTCTTTTCCTTTAAATCCTCTGGGGTTCCTGCACTCCAGCCACCCTGAAGCCCTGGATAACAAAAAGCTGGAGGGTGCAGCCACGTTTTGCTTTGTCAAGCAGAATGGCTGCGACCATCTGGGCCTGAATAAAGATGAAGTGCTGTTGGAGAGAGCTCCCAGCAACGTGCTCTGCTCGGGCTCCACGTTCCAAACCCCCCAACTGCAAAGCCCGGGCTGGAACTGGAGGCACTGGAGATGCACAGCATGGCAAGTGCAGGTTGTGAGTGACCTTTGTGTCCAGCGAAGCTCAAGAGGGAAGTTCACAACCAGCAGCAGCTCCACTGTACCAAACCCCCAAAAATCTGCTTAAGGCAAGTTCAAAACACAAACTGTGTGTGTGTTCTAACCCTGGGGTGCTGTGGGTGACTGGTGTGAGCCCCAAGTCTCCTGGCAAGCAGCCCATGGACTGCTCTGTCACAACAGCTGGAGAACTCCAGGCTCCCTGCAGCTGAACCAAACCTGGGCACTGCCCTTCCCGCCATCCAGGATCTGAACAGGAGCTGCTGCCTTGGAATCTAAATCCATGGGAGAGGGATCAGGAACCTCAAGGTACACAGGAAGCAACTCCTAAGCTGTTAAAGTCCATGTTCATCATAAGCACAGAGCTGTGGCTCACAGGTCTGTCTCCTAAATGGTTAAATTAGAAACTGAGGATCTTTTTTCCCCCAGCAGCAGCGTTTCCTCCCCGTCCAGCCCCGGTTTCTGTGCAGTAACAGTGCAGGCAGGGCATGGGAAATGCTCTCTGACAACCTCACTTCCCAGCCAGGCCATTGTTAGCACGGCCCTGCCTCTGGAAGGACACACAGAGCCCCTGGAAACACACACACACGGACCTTCTGTGTGAGGAACTGGGAACCCACAGCTTCCCAAATGGAAAACCATGCCCAGACACCAGAGTCCCTCTCCCCCTGACATGGGGAGAGACACTTTAACACCTCACCACTCAATTCTGCTTCAGCAACTGCTTCCTGTAACTCCTGCTTTAAGTACCCACTATTTAGTTTAGATATTTAAAAATTAGCTTTAAATATATATCACTTATAAAAGTTTACTTTTAGATACATAAAATAAAGCACAGATTTACTGAAACACAAGGGAATGAAGTGATTTGCTCAGGGTAACTAAGAACAAGCCAAAGAGCCCCAGTGCTGGTTTTGTGTCTCCCGTGCTCCATCAAACCAGGCCCCATCTGCACCATCCCATGGATTTGTCCCAGCTTGGGAACAGCTCCAGAGAATACTCAGAGAGGACACACAGATCTCCTGCCTTGGCTGTATCTTCTATTTCTCTGCACTACTTCTGTCCCAGCCCAAAGAAAAACCAGTTCAGCCACCACTGGGCTCAGCTCATGGCCAGCACTGACCTGCAGCTCTGTCTGATCACTCTGATATAACCCCTGTGTCCAGGATTTCCAGAAATAAGGAGCTGCTTCCCTGACTGAAGCCAGTGGGATGCCTGACAAAGACCTCAGTTCAGCTGTGGCCAAGCCCCAGGAACACCCTCCCTCAGCTGGGACACGGCAGGGTTTTCACAAAGCTTTTAAAACTCCAGCTAAAGCCTCCAGAAATGTTTCCTGTTCAGTGAAATGAAAACAAAATAAACTCTGCTGGACTAGGAGACTTTTTCAAGTAATGAAAAGATGTTGATTTTGGTAACCATGGATTTATAACCCAAGGAAAAACAGGTGGAAAGCTTAAAGATGGAGGAATGGTCCCTGTGCTTTGGTTTCCTGGCTGGATTTACAAACACAGCCTCAGCAAAGGCTGTTGCTATCTGGGATAAGTGAGGCAATTCCCTTTTCCCAGGAGGGTCTCCAGTGCCCCTGAGGAGCCCCAGGCAGGGCAGGGCAGGAGGGGAGGCAGTACCTGGTGCAGGCTGCGCTTGGCCTGCAGGGCCGCGTTCAGCTTCTCCTCCTGCTTCACCCTCATCTTCACCACCTCGTGCAGGAATTTCTCTTTGGCTTCTTTTGTGTCCAGGCCACTGTCCAGGGCCTGCCTGAGGTGCTCCAGCTCAGCTTCCAAGCCGCTGCTGTGGGAGTCAGGGTGTGCTGCCACCTCGTAGGAGCTGTTGACGGGCACCGGGGGCTGCATCCCAGGGGAGCTCATGTCCTTGGCAGAGCTGGATGAAGTGAAGGATGGGGAGGAGAGCGAGGATAAGGAGGAGGTGACTGGAAAACAGAAACATTGAAACATTAATTTAAAAATGTCTAAAATCAATACATGTATTACACACAGCTCATATATAACTCATATTTAAGAGTTGGACTCGATGATCCTTGTGAGTCCCTTCCCACTCAGCATATTCTGAGATATATATTTTATAGATATATATATTATATAGCTCAAAAGATGCTGAGGCCCTTTTATACAGACACTCTCAATAGTCAATTAAAAAAAAAAGAAAGAAAATAAAACCTGGCTCGTTTTATACTGTGATACTTGAAATATGACACAAAAGCAGCCCTGACCCAAGGGACCAACTTGCAATTTGTTTGAACTGTGACCGTGCAATTCATGTCACCGTTGAGGCTTCGGGCTTCCAGAATTCCATTTAAACACCCAAGAAGCTGCACAGTGAAAGACCCAGCCCAAAGACACCAAAACAAAGGCAGGTACAACCACCACTCACATTCTTCCCTGGTTTCTACTTCAATTTCTGCTTCCGACTCCTTGTCCTCCTCGGGGGCCGGGGCCGTGGCCTCGGGAGCCGCCGTGTTGTGCTCCACGTGTTTCCTTTTCCTGGGCTGGGCAGAGCTCAGGGAGTCGCTGCCCCGGGACACCACGGTGGCACAGGGGGGGTTGCTCACGATCTTCTGCTGGGCTGGGGGGGCCAGGGCCACGTTGGGGGCCACGGCGCTCTCGAAGCTCTTGTAGGAGTAGAAGCTGGTTCAGAGCGGGAGGCAAAAGGAAGGAGAAAAGGGTCACGGTCTCGACTTTAAAATGTTCCCCAGGCCATGTGTGGCACTGCAGTGATGGTGAGTTCACTGATTCACACCAGCTGAGAACCTGCTGTATCTCCAGCCCTGATTCACACCAGCTGAGAACCTGCATTTGTCAGTGTCTGCTCTCATTAAACCTGGGGATGAGGGACACCCCAGCACCCAGTTGGGAAGGGATCACGTTCCCAGTGCCACATATCCCAAGGGCACGAAAGGGATGGGACCTCCCAGAGCCTGCAAGTCACAACACTGTCCCCTCCTGCTCCTCCTGCACTGTTGCTTTGCCCAGCTGCACAATGCACTTGTGTCCATCCACAAACGTTCTGGGAGCTCAAACCAGCACTTCCCGAAGGAAAACCATGGAGTGCCAGAGAGCCTTTGGTGTGTCTGTGATTTGGACACAGCACCCAAGTGCCCCTGTGTAAAACCAGAGGTGGAACAACCAACACACCTGTGGTAAAGAGCAGCGATACTGTAACATCAAATATGTAGGATTTTGCAAAAAGAACAGCCAAGACTTTGTATCTTACATTCAGCATCTCCTACACCATGTGCCTTCAGTCATGTGTTAAAATTCCTCCTGAACCTGCTGAAGGATGGAGCTGTGCTGGGAACACAGCCTGTGTCAGGGAGCTGCTGCAGGGACCATGGAATGGCTGGGAATGGATGGATGCTTCCTGACCACCTGCCTGACACAGTGACTCCACTGCCCTTAAATGAAAGCCCAAGAACTTCAGTGACTGTCCCCAGAGGGACCATCCCTTCCCAGCAGCCTTCCCTTCCCATTTTCATGGCAGGTCTCACCCCAGAAAACCCATTTAATGAACACACAGACCACCAACACTTCTCCTGGTTTCCCTTTTGCCAATCCCACCACTGATGGTGGTGCAGTGGAAGCTGCCCCTGGGTTTTGTCCTTACCTGTCCCGGATGAGGGCGGGGAGGTGGCCCGAGAGCTCCTTCTCTCCGGCCGACACCGCGGGGGACCAGGGCCGGAACGCCGAGAGCCGCTGCCGGGGGTGCACACAGCCGATGCTCTGGGGACAGGAGGGACACACACAGTCCTTCACGTCACAGCACAGGGACACCCCAGGTCCCCAGGGCCACTCTCGGGTCCCCAGGGCCACCCCACTGTCCCCACAACCACCCCCATGGCCAGGCTCTGCTCCTGGCGGGAAAACCTCGGGTGTGTTCTGGGCCAATGAGTTCTGTGCAGTTCACAGGGAGCACAAACAGCTCCTGGGTCCTGCAGGATCCCTGCACCTCAAAGGCACGAGGGAATTCCTCACTTCCCTGTCCCAGTCTGGGTCAGTGGGCACTGGAGGGTGGCAGGGACACGGGGGGACTGTGCAGCTCATTGCTGACCAGGAGAAGGATGGAAATGGTGCTGATTTAGAAAACCTGGGCAGGTTGGTTCTCTCATTTTCTCCTCCTTTCCCCACTCCATGAAGTGATGCCTTGTGCTAATTTGATCTTTCAATTACAAAATATTCAACAATCACCTTGTTGGATGAACTGGATAAGGACCGTAACCAACTGGACTGTTTCTCCTTCTCAGAAGAAGCTGGAGATTGGGAAGCAGAGTCATCTGTTTTGGGCTTTTTGGAAGCAGGAGGATCTGAAGAGACCTGAAACAAAGACAGGCAGGAAAACCCAAAGTCAGAATTCCTCACTTTGCCATCAGCTCAGAAACAGGTTATAAGGCAAAGACCAAATTTGTATTTAAAAGAAAGAAACCTCGGGTGTTGTCCTGTAAGGCCAAACAAAGGACTGAAAACAAGGGGCAGACACCAGCTGTGACACAACAGAGCTCATCCCTTCCCTCAGGATCCTCCAGGGCAGTGTGGAGGGTGCAGAAGACAGGGGCAGTGACCTGAGGGAGACACTGCACACAACTGTCGGCCTTTTATGATTTTTGTGTGCAGAAAGGTAAGTTTAATGTGGTCGCTGAACTGGAAAGATTATTTTAAACGAGAACAGACCAGACTTTGTTATTCTGTTTGCAGTGGTTGTTATGCCGATGACTTCACTACCCCACAGCTGCAGTGGATTCTGGGGGTGCTGCCAAGAGCTGCTTTGCCTTTTCCACAAGTGGCTCAGCTTGGCCCATAAATCATCCTCAAGCACAAGAAAGCCCTTTGGCAAGCAAACCCCCTTTCCTTCAACACTGTGAAGGAATAAAATTCCTATAGTCCCAGCGTGGCTTGCAAAAAAATTGGTAACTACTGGTTTAACTGGTGCTCTGGGGATCCCAGCTGGAAGCCCTGCCAGCACAAACACCTCCACGGGCAGGGAGGGAGAAGGTTCTGGACCCTGTGCTGCATCATGACTAGAAATAATAAAAGAAATGTTCCACCTCCGTTTCTGTCCCTTCTGCTGTCTTTTTGCAGCTCCAAACTCTCCACCTTTCCTGGCTCCCAGTGAGGTGGCAGAACCACGCTGCAGGAACTACTAAAGGCTCATTTTTGCATTAATTTTTTTCTTCCTTACACCTCTCTGTGGTTTCTGTGGGCAAACAGGTATTGCTACAGGTGTGTCTGTAAAACACAGGGATGGCAACATCCTGGGAGCCTGAAGTGCTCCAAACCCAGGTCTCCTGGCCAGTGATGGGAAGGGTCTCATTTGCCAATGTCCTGTGTTCTGAAAATCTGTCCCCTCCAGGCACCTTCAGCTGGGAACTCAGAGGCTGCTTCTCCAGGTGATTATTGAACCTTGTACCTGAGGAGCTGTCCAAGGGCCCTTCTGCAGAGTCCCAACCCAGCAGCTCTGTAACTCCAGCCATCCCACCCCTTTGCACGCCTTGATCAGGAGGAATCACAGCCCCAAGTCCGTGCCCAGCCCACGGGAGCAGGGCAGGAGCCCGAGCTGTGGCTGCAGCCGTGACTGCCCAGCTCCTGCCAGTCCCCCTGGCACACACCCACCCTGCCCAGCGTGCCCAGGAACCTCGTCACACCGTGCCCAGAGGGCTCAGCACAACATTCCCTGGCACTCAGGGCAGAGCAGATGAGCAAGGATCCCACGGGAGGGGGGGGTGTGACCCCCAGTTACAACCAGCCCGTGCCAGAGCCAGATGCCAACTCCAAGGGATTTGCAGTGGATTCTTTGGGCACAGCCTCAGGCTTCCCCAGGGCCGCTCAGACCCAGCTAGGAAGAGGCATTCCCACTCTGGAACACTTTCTGCAGAGCAAGACAATGCACTGGAGGAGGTTTGTGTCTGCTCTCGGAGATGCTGCCTGTGCAGAATCAGTGACAGCACGAGAAAGGTATTTGGCAAGTGCCCACTGATCCCAGCCCTATCCACTGGGGATGCTGAGCTGTGTGGGGAGGGGAGTCGGGGTGGAGGGTGGGGAGGAAGGGGGGCTTGGAATGGAAAAGGCAACAGGTGGCAGGACTCAGCACGGAGCCCGGCCCTCCCCGGCCTCCCCCCAGAACATTCTGTGCCGGCGGCGTGGGACGGACACGGGGACCATCCCCACTGGGACACTGGGGCCATCCCTGCCCCACACACTGTGCCCATCCCTGCCCCACACATTGTGCCCACCCCTGCCCCACACACTGCTCCATCCCTGCCCCACACACTGTGCCCACCCCTGCCCCACACACTGTGCCCATCCCTGCTCTGGACACCAAGGCACACAGGAGACCCATCTCCAGGAGCAAGAGTCCATTCTCGAGAGGCTGCAGGGGAGATGTTCCAACAGAACCATCTCCTTTGCTCATCTCCAGCTTTCTCCACTCCCCCCCTTCCTTCCCCTCTAAATCCAGGCTGACACCAAGGGCCAGGAGGGCTCTGAGCACAGAACCTGTCAGCAGACCTGGGAAATGATCCTTAACCTCGTTGCCAGGAGCCCGTATTGATCTGGAAACAGGAGCTGCAGCTCGGGAGAAAGCAGTGAAGGAGGTGTGTGACAGGGGGAAACAGGTCTGCCTCCCCCAGAGACATGGAAATAGGAGAGAAAAGGAGGTGCTAAGCAGAGCCTGCAGGGTTTTCTAACTTCAAGTCATCTCCCACCACGGGACTCCTGTATCCTGACAAACCAGAGCTGTCTGATGTGGTGCAGCCCAAAAAAGGGCTCCTGCCAACGTGGGTTTGGAGCTGCTGTGACAACCTGCACCAGTGTCTCTCCACCCACTGTCCCGTTGTGCTCACCAGGATCAGCTGCTGGCTGAGGCAGGAGCTGCCTCTTGGGAGCTCTTCAAAAACCCCACCTTAGCAGTGCACAAATGTAATAATTCCAGTAGCTTCCCCCTGGTCTGTGAAATACCGAGTCACTGCATGTTGATTTTAGTCAAGAAATGGAGGTTCCCCCTGAAACTCCAGAACCACCCTTCTGGCCACAGCCTGGAGCCATTGGATTCCAATTTTGCAGGCTCGGACTCTGGAGGAGGCAGGAGGGAATTTGCTCTCAACCACAGGAAGATACTCGGATGTGGAATAAGACGAGTCACTGAACACAAAATCTCCTCTCCAGGTGACTCAGCCATTACATCCCACTCCAGGACAGATTCCAGGCACCAAGATACCCCACTCCAACACTCCTCTGGCCCCAGCAGCCAGCAAACCTTGGTACTGGCTCAACTGGGGATGATTTGATTTCATTTCTTCTCTTTGCCAAACAACGAAACACACAGAGTTGCAAAAGAAATACTGAAAATCTGATGTAACTTTTTTGCCATCTTCACACATGATTTATGAAACCCTTGAACACAAACTCTGGGAGGCTGAAATAAGTATTTCCTGATTTCCTGTTCATTTTTTCTCTTCCATTGGAGGCAACCTAACAATCTGCTGTCAAATGGGCCCCGTGCTGGGCACACCCACTTGTGAATATACATTTTCTCCACTCCACAGCCCTAAGAAACTTCAGGATACAAACGGGCCCAGAAACGCTGCAGGAAACGTTTCCTTAAGCTTTGGGACTGTTGCTTTTTGAAGCAAACAAGTTTTCAAGGAAAAAAACAGCTACAGAGGGATTTACAAAGCTGCTAAAAAAAGATGTCAGGAGTCCACTGCAGAGGGAGATGGGGGCCTGTGAACAATGTCAGCCATTTTAAGGCAAACCCAAATTGGGCGGCTCAGTTTGGCCTCCAGCCAACCAGGGCCACATTTGACATGTCAGATCAAATTTTCTACTTCAATTAAGTATTACAGTAACAGACCATGAGACCAGTGGAAAGAATTTCTGACCCTCTCTCCCTCTCAGAAAGACAAACCGTGCCTGGTGCTCTGCAGAACCAGCAGGTCCAGGTCGGGCACCCAAATGTGCAACTCTCCTTTGCAACCACGACAGAAAATGGGCCCAGAAGAAATTCTGACTTTTTAGAGGTGTGGGAGTGCTCACAGATATGATTCCTGGTGCCTGAACATCTACCCAAATACATCTCCTGAAGGAATTCACTTTCTTTTCCCTACTGGGCTGAGCAAAGGCTTCTGTTCCCTCCTCATCCTCGGCCCTGCTGTGCCCAAAAACGGGGCTGTGTCACGTGTGGGGTTGCACATGGCAGTGAAAACAGGGCTGCTTTGGCCTTGTTGAGAGTGAGAACGTTACATGAAACGAGCTGAAAATGTTTAGGAGGCCTGCAGGCCTGTGGAACTTTCAGCTTAGGAATATACTTCCAGAAATCAGCCCATCTCCAAATCCTGGTCTCCCCTCTGCCAGCAAAACCTCCCTGTAACTGGCTCTGAGTCTGGCACTGAATTCCAAGACCTCACTGCAAACACAGAGCTGGTGAATGGCACGTGTCTCTGTGCTGGTCCCCATTCCCAGGCCAGCTGTGATGCTCTTCCATGGAGTGAGGGCAGGAATGGGAACTGCGGGAATGGGATCTGCAGGAATGGGAACTGCAGGAATGGGAACTGCAGGAATGGGAACTGCTGGCTCTGCTGCCCGGCCCCAGAGATGCAGCAGCTCTTCCTGCAGCTCCAGGAGCATCTGAGAGCCTGGGAGCAGGTGCAGGGACCCTCAGCTAAAGGGACAGAGCTGCTCTGCAGTGCTTGGATGAGGGCTGGGAAAGGATGCAAAGCCTTATTTTAAGCCCAGGTAAGTCCCAGCTCTTCCTTCAGGAGCACCCAGGTCAGGCTTTCCAGGCTCCTGCTCCACAAGGATCTGTTATGTTACACAGCTCTGTAAAACAGCATTTCAGAAGTGCCAAGGATTCAAAAGCTACTTCTGGAGGCTTCCAAGACCACAAAATTCCAGAACTTGGGAACTGAACTTGGAATTCTCCACGTGGTGCCTTCATGACTCGCAGGCCTGAGTCTCTCTAAGAACAGGCTGAGGAGGGGGGGTGTTCTGGCTGCCTCGAGGTTTCTTTCAGATCCCCAGTTCAAACCCAATTTAAAAATGCCCCTTTTCCATGTGGGAAAGGGGCCCTTCATGCACATCCTTTAAGCCTCCAGGAGCACGTCGACGGGTGGCCAGAGCACTTGCCTCCCAAAGCCTCTTTGTGACGCGGTCCAGAAGTGATTAATAAGGTATTAGAGGTCTCTGTAAGGACTGCACTTTCACGTGGATTAAAGGCATAAATATATTCAGGTACAGATTGAAAGCTGGGGAGGGTTGTCCCCATAATAAAAAAAAAGCTAAAAATAAAGCTGTGCCACGGAGCTGTAAGAAGATTTACTGCT